TAGAAAATACTCAAATTGATCGTCAAATATCAGATGAAGGATATCGTTCCGTTCGAAATGAACAACAACAACAAGTAATAGAAACAACTTCTAATCATAATTTACCAGTACTAACTAGATCAGCAAGTTATGATTCGACAGAAAAAGTTGATCAATGGTTATCAACTACATCACCGTTAGCTTCATCTGGGTCTATATCAATAAGTTGTAATACTAATTTTCAAGTATAGTTAAATCGATTTATTAATTTTTATTATATAAAATGTTTTTTTTTTGTTGTTTGTTTTTAGCCAACTCATAATGATGATGAAGAATAAAATATTGAAACAAAGAACAATTCTCGGTGCCTAATAATTGAGATTCGCTATTGAATTTAACCCGTCCGTAGCAGACACAGTGATTCCTTTTTCTTTTCCTTTCTGCTCGCATTTCTGGCCAGCCTGTGACTCTTTTGCTCTCGTTATTTTCATTATGTTTGCTGCGTACTTATGACCAATCTTGTTAATTATACTGATTAGGTTTTTTTTCTCCTATTGTTAACAAATTGATAAATATCAGTTGTTGTTTCTATATCTAAACGTACCTGTGATTTATTATTATTATTTTTCTTTGTCTCTATTTATCTTAGAATTAAAATTCTTGTTCTATTTTTCTTGCTGTCGAAGCGCGTTGTGTTTACTCTTAAAACATGGTCGATTGGTTTTTTTTTCTTTTTTTCTTTTTTTTCTTTGCTCTGTTCAATGTCATTGTTTGTATATTGATCAACAAAAAACAAACAAACCAATGATTGGTTTAAAAGATTTATGCAGATATTTATCGGTTAATAAGTTATCTCCTTTTTATTTTGATATATGCATTGGTTTGGAATGTTTTTCTTTTTTTCTTTTTTTTGATCAATAACGGAATGTATCACGTGTTGAAATATTAACATCTCTTTTTTGATACTCAGTCTGATTTGGAAGTGTTTAAATTCATATGAGAATAAAGTTACAAGGGCAATAACCGTGATTGAAGTCTTTCTTGTTCTTATTTTCAAGCATTTTTATTGATCTAAGCAAAAGGTTTATAGGAAAATATAAATCTATCGTTCATATGCAGTGTACAATGGTAGGTATTTTTTAATGTCGTAATTTAGTCTATTTTAACTTCAAAATCAACGAATTCTATCAATATACACAATGAAAGAATACTGAGACAACTTTTAGACCTTTCAAAGTCATTGGATATAGAATAAATAGAAAATATTCATCAGAATCACTCAATTAGGAAGAGTATTATATATTTCACTTTCAAGACGTGTTAATAAATACTAAGTATATACCGTTTAATAAAGAAAAGAAGCATCTAAATAAAGGTTCTTATTATGACCTACATCATTTCATCAAAGCTAGTATCCTCATAATTTAATGACTAATTCACAAACAAAGTTGTAGAGGAACTTATTTTTACCTAACCATGTCTTTAGAGAGAGTAAAGAACTTCTGGCAACGCATATAAATGGGGCTGAAGCTCTTTTTTAAAGCAAAATTGAATCATATATTAAGAGAACTCAAAGCCTCCTAGCGTGAAACTAAGCACATTCTAATATCTGTTTGGTTATGTCACTATTACAACTGTGTGTAATTATTCTATTTTATAGAAACTGATTCTCATGTTATATATGTCCTTTTTGTGAGAATTTTTCATTTCCTGTTTTCGTTTCGTTTTGTATAGTCCAATCGTGCTCTTCTCATTTTTCAATAGTTCCAAATCTAGATGTTCTTACTATACTATACTTAGCTATTGCTTTAGTGATATAAAATATGACAAGCAAGTTTAGTTTGATAAACATAAAATCTGTCTATTTTAAACTTTTCTTATCAACAATAGTTATAAAACAATGTATCTTTGAATCTAATAGTTCTTTGAGATAATTGATCCGATTTATTCATAATTAGAAATTTCAAAACGAGAAAATAGCATATAATTAAATCTAATCTTAGTACGTACAAATTATTATCTAAAAAATCAACAGCTAACATTTGACCTAGCTCGGCAATGAATTTACTTAAATCTTGTTTTGTCTTGTTTCAGAGTAGTTCTCTATTTGATAATATCTTACTACGAGGAAATGCATACGTAAAAGCTGATTAAGATTGTTTCCAACGTTGATTTGCATTACTTGAACAGGTGAAAATGACGAATACGTAAAAAAAAACACATCAGTATTTAATAATCTATAAAAGAAAGTGATGATAATCTTTAGCTTTCTTTTTCTATTAAGAGTTAAATAGCAAGAATTATGATTCATCACTGAAAAACTCATTCCATTCCAGTGATGATATATTTTGTTTCGATTATTAACGAAAACTTTTGACATAACTCATTCACATTTGCAACTTAAAAAAGAATTGAATATTTAAATATTATTTTTTCTTAAAAATGTAAATACAAAAACTCTCATTTTCAATCGTTTATAAAATCGTGAACTTTATTTTAACTTGCATCACATTTAATTAAAAAATGAATTTTCTTTTGCGTCAATAACTTGTATCGTACTTAAGACTTTTGTGATTCAGTTGAAGTATTTTTTTTTCTCTTTTTTTATGCTTCATTATTGTTTTCGGATCCAGTCACACATTCTGCAATCGATCAAAAATTGACATCTCTCTTTCATTGAGGCATGGATTACTGATTTTTTTTTAACCGATTGTTTTTGTATAAAGAGCAGTGAATGGAGTTTTTTTTTTTTCATCTTTCTTCGTGACAGGTAATAAATAAGAGATGATGTTGCACAAAGACGAAGTATTTTAACTTTTTCTTTTTCTTATTCAGCAATTGTATTTTTAGCAATAAAAACTGAGTAAGTACATAAATCTAAAATTATCTCAGTGTAGAAACAATAAAAGAAAAACAAACCAATGTGTTCAACTTTTCTGATCTAGTGTGATTATGCATGGCATAGTGAAAATACTTCTTAAAAGTTTTCACAAAACAACTGTTGTTTAGTTATTCTAAAATATATCTAAACAATGAAGAATAATATTGTGTATCTAAAAAATCAATACAATGCTTGATATGATTATTTGTTATATAAACTAAATCATACACGACATAGAAGATTTTACTAGATAAACAACACCGAGGACGTGATAGAAGACTATCACTGATTAATTGATTTATAGCAAAATTAAAACTTGAATATGTATATGTTTAAAAACATATATGCCTAACTTTTAGAGTTTTGAGCTAAGTAATCTTAAAAAGTTTGTTTCTTAATTCTCAAAGTCACTTTTTTGTTTTTTTGGATGACTCTTTGAATTAAAAATTAGAAAAATAAATGAGAGACAATAGAAAATCTTCCTCTCGTCTGAAAACTGCCCATGTTTCGACATAGTGGAAGACTCTGAGTCTTCTTTTGTGGCGGGAGTTTAATAATAATGTAAAATACATATCTATCGAAATAATATTTCGTCAAATGTACTGAGTCTCTGAAATTTCTATCATCTTAAATCGTATGATATCAAATTCTACATTGGATTTCAGAAGTCTAATAAAAAAAAAAGAAACGTTCATAGCTTTTTAACCGTTCAAGTGATTTATTATAGATTTTTATAATTTCATTCCTTATTCATGAAAACTTTATTTTCTATAGGTTTGACTAAAACAGATATAGCAAATGATTAATTATAGATCCACTACATCGATCTATTTCATAAAGTTATGAGCTTTTTGTACTTCTTTTGAAGCAATGTGTTCTCTAATTGCCAGACGTTATCATTAAAATGCAGAGTAACATTACTTCTATGAAATAATTTTGAGCCTACCGATCGTAATCTCCTTAATTTTAGAAGAGAAATTATTTTCAAGGATAATAGGATGCTTTTCTCTCTGGATAATGTTACCATCATAAAAAAAAAAACATTCGAACAGGTAATTTCTTAATATTGCACAATAAGCATCGTCTTTTAAAGATTGCGCAACAGTTTCACAAAAATATGATGATCATGAAGTACACACCCTTCACTTTTAGAAATTTTTTGTTTCTCCGTGATTAAAAAATTGTATATGCATCACTCCGCTTTATAGAAAAATTCTCTTGCATCTCTCACCAATTCTTTTTATTCGCCCACGTTGCTGTAGTTCTATGTAGATTTCATTCACTTCACTATTTGAAAGGCTTATCAGAATTTTAAGTGACATGGATTAATCGATTTCATAGTGTCCTCTTTCTTGTCTCTTGTGAAAAGAGTGCAGAACTTTTCTAACAAGATAGAAACTCAAAGTACGTATACATATAAAAAAAACGTAGAGTAATAGTTAGATTAAAATCGATTAAACATGGTTCTAATGAATAATAACTGAAAAAAAAATTTTCATGGATTACTATGATTGGTTTTGATTATAATTGATAAAAAATTTTGAATCTGTTTATTACTCTAACTTTTGTTTCATGGGATATTTTATAAAAAATCGCGAGTAGAATGATTCATTTAAAATGTTCTTTTCTTTGTGAAAGAAACAGTTTTGTCTGTTAATTTCCCATTATATGTTTACATAAAAAAAGGCACGAATCTTTTCTTGTATAGAACTCTTTCAATGAGAATGTGAAGTGCTTTTTTTTTGCATTTTAGTATACTTTAAGATAGTTTAACTTTCTTTTTTTGCTGCAAATCAATCTTTCGAGTGAGAGATTCACAAAAAAATTGACTTATTCGGTTTTACTTTTATGTATGTCAAGTTGCTATGACTTTCATATTTTTTCATCCCTCATTTCTTTTAATCCCTTTAAGAGAGAGGGACATGAGTGAGGTATAGGTAGGTGAAAGTGACGAGAGCACATGCATGCACACACTAAAGAGACTAAAATATTCTCAGTTTTTTTTATATCATGTCGGAGTTAGAACTATATATAATTTTATTAATATTTTGAAGTATTTGTGATTTGATGAAAATTGAATTTGTAGATTCAATTGTGTATTATTGAGTGGTGTAATTAAATAAATCAAAATCGAATCTTAATGGCGACTTTGCATTCTCCACGCGCAAAAGATACTTATAAAAATCGAGGTACTCGACGATCAGTTATTTCCGATGGACGTCGTGTGTCAACAGTAAAATCAAGTGGACGTAGCATAAGTCGAATAAATGTTTCAGATGAAATTCATGAAAGTGTTGTTTTCATTTGGTTCGATCCACATCAACTTTTGAACATACATCTTATTGGACCACTTCGAGTAATTAATGCTGGCGTTCAAACTTTTACTGAACCGTTGACTTGTTTTGATACAATAAGATCTTCAAAAGAAAAAATCTTTTTCATTAGTTCATCATGTAATAATGAATTGATTGCCACTGTACATGATTTTAATGCTGTTGAAGCAATTTTTATATTTGATCCGAATGGTGAAAATATTAAAGGTGATTTTCCAAAACTTTTTGGCATATTTAATCAACAAGAAGAATTACTTCGTATACTTAAAGAAGTACTTAATACGTTTGAAGAAATACAACTTGAAGAATTTGCATTTGAACAAGATGATGTATTTCTTTGGTCACAATTGTGGAAAGAAGATGTAAGTAAAGATGACTATTTCAATTAAACATTAAGAAAAGTTCATTTAACATTGTTTTTTATTAAATATATTTTCGATTAGTGAAATGTTCCTTGATGTGTTCTCTTTAGTTAATAAGTCGAAAAGTATCATCAAATAAGCAAAATCTTATTGAAATAGCTCGACAATATTATCGAGACAATATTCGAATAATGGAAATTATTGAAGAATTCGAAAAATCCTATCGATCTGCTGATGTCATCAATTGGTGTTTTCGTTCTCCATTTCCTACACGTCTTCTTCTTCATGCACTTCGTTCTCACAATAAAGGACAACTTAGTATCTGTCGATTTCTATTCGCTGATGCATCACGCTTTTTTCAACAACGTCCTAAACATAAATCTAGTGACCAAGTTTATCGTGGTATGAAATTATCAAGTGAAATTCTTGATAAATTTGAAGCTCATGTTGGTCAAGTTATTTGTACAAGTGGATTTTTTCCTTGTACTAAATCAAGAACAAATGCATTGACACTCGCTTCATTACCAACATATCGTCCTGATCTTCTATCTGTTTTATTTAAAATTGATTGTGATGCATCAGCTTTATTTACTGAATTATCAAATAAACAATCAACGTCATTGATTGTATTTGATATTTGTATAACATTTCGTATTGTTTATGTTCATCGTGGTCAAATGTCAATTGTAAAATTGAAAACTGCAGGTGAAGCTGGTAAGAAAATAGCTTTAGAATATTTAGAAAAGCATCCAAATGAAACAATACCAACATTAATTAATGAAATTTTGAAACCTTCTGAACCACCACCTCCTCCTCCTCCTCCTCCAACTAGAACACCAACACCACCTCCCAAACCAAAATCAGCCTTAGTTCATATCAAAGATTCAATGTACAAAAACATTTCTATAGAATAACCTAAATAACTGTTCAATTTTGTTTTCTTTTATTCTAGAGATTCAGCGATGACTGCTGAGGAAATAAAGGCACAAAAATATGCTGAACAAGGAGACATTGATATGGCTCTAATAACTTATCAACGCATTCAACCTGCTACAGTTCGTGTGCTCAATGCAATGGGTCAATTGTCTGCCAATAGAAAGGGTGATTATGAGTATGCTTTACAATGTCATCAACAAGCGCTTAAACTTCAAGAAATGGTAATTTAAATAAGCACAATCGATTGTCAATGAAGTTTTGTTTTGTTTTTTTAGTCTGGCGAAGATGTTTCTGATACTCTTACTTATCTTGGAAATGTTTATCAAAGCCACAGTGAAGTTGATCTGGCTTTAGACTATCATACACGTGCACTTGAATTGCATCAAGCTAATCCAACAACTAAATCAATTGCAATCGCCTCTAATCTAATTGGAATCGCTAATGCTCGTTGGGTTCGTCGTGAATATTCTGACGCAATTGCTAATGCTGAACAAGCACTAGCTTTACAAGAAGCTCTTGTACCTCCGAATGAAACAAGTATGGCTACCACTCTAACTTTGCTAAGTAACATCTATCAAGATTCTGGCGACAGTACTCGTGCTCTTGATCTTTGTACAAAAGCACTGCCCCTTTTTGAACGTACCGTACCCAATGATTCACCTATATTAGCTGAATTTCTTTACAAGCTAGGCACACTACAGGCAAATTCAGGAGCGTTAGTTGATGCACAACGAAGTTTAGAACGATCGTATAAAATTTATCGAAAACTTCTACCTAGAGGACATCATGATCGTATGTCAACAGAAAATGAACTTCGACGTGTTATACAATTACGTCAAAAGAACAAACAAAAGTCACAAACAAATTCATGAATATATCTTTGCTTTAAAACTAATTTTGCAGTTTGAATCATAAAAAATATTGAAATATAATTATATCAAAAGAAAAGAATATTTATATATTAGAATTATTACTTCAGTTAGACTTAAACAAATTTTTTAGAATTAAAAAAAAAAACTATCTAGATAGCTATCTGGATTTATGTCATAAAAAACAAAACTAGAGAATTTACCTCACCTTCCATAGATGATCCTTACTTTCTACTAGCTCAGTCCAACTTGGTTCTAGTCTTACAATTAAAAACTTGCTTTGTGACATACATGATAATTATTATTGATACAATAAGATTTCGTAGAGATTGGCACAAAAACATGAAAAATGTAGCTAGTCTAAATGGGTGATCAGTAGAGTCCATCGATTTATATTCTATAAGTGTAACAGTCGAAGGTAGATATTGATATTTGCTGCATTTTATTTGTCAATATTAATATACTAATTATTTGAGCTTTAAACTAAATCGATTAATGTATTCGAAGTAGCATTTTCTGAAACAGGAATAATATTATCGAATAAAAGAAGAACATTATCTATAACTATACTAGAATATATTATTGTTTGATATAAAAATTTTTAACAAACCATCTTTGTCATAATTATCTTGTCTAAATAATCGATCATATTTTGCTCATTCTCGTGATAATAAATCACTTGAAAATAAAATTTCACCCAAAAAATAAATGAAAAATTTAATAAAATAAAATCGAGCAAACCAAGTCTTTCATCTTCGTCTTCACTTTCTGTTGCTCATCGAAATAGAACTGATCATAATTTTTCTAATTCATTATATAGATACTAAAACTAAAATGAACAAGAAATGAATGTACAAATAGTAATTATCTTTTTTTCCGCTTCAATAACTATCGAATGATTATAATGGATAAACATATAAGATAAAACTCGAATATTATTTTGAACTTTTTCTAATTCACTTGCTCGATTTATTTGATTTTTTTCTTCATCTTAAATAAAAATAAAAATATAAAACATAGTTATATCGAAAATGTTTGACGAATTTTTTTTTATTACACACGTATACTTTTGAAAGTATTTTCTACTAACTGACGAAATTCCAGGATATGTTAGAGTAAGGAAATCTATCCTTTCCTCAAAAAAAAAAAAGTTGAAACAAGATGAAAAATTTGAACGTGTTTTAATCATTTATATGGTATCTGTTTCTTTCATTTATTCATCATTTTCTATCTGAATAGATTCGAAAGGCAAATGAATGTCTTGTAACACTGTCGTATTTCAGTTTGGTGTTATTTTAGTTATAGAAAACATTCGAACAATAATAAACAAAATTTTTCAATATTAATGAATTCGATGATATAAGTTGAAGGTTGAATGTTCTTTGAGCATGACCAAAGAATTTAATATCCATATTTGTTACGTTTCTTCCTTCATTGGTCACAACTTAACGACAATAACTCATTTATAACGAGAATATTTTCATTGATAATAGTTCATTGGAACCACCAAGCTTCATAAAACAGCTAATTCATTATCTTATTAATAGAGTAAAAGATATTTTCAAGAAACTTATTTTATTAAAACATTTTAAAAAATCTCTCTAAGAAGAATTATTTGATGGGTAACGCTCTCATTTGATTTCGGAAAAAAAAGGAATTCGTGAAGATAGATTAATCTTTACATAATACTCAGCTGATTGTGTCTTAGTACTTGCTTTTGAGATTTGAATATTATTGAAATGGAATAAAGTATTCTGTATGTTAAAAGAATTTCCACAGAAATGCAGAAAAATCTTTGTCTGATGAGAAGTTATGTTCTTTGTTCAGCTAACGAAGTTGAATAGACATATAAACTTTAAGTTATGACAGGCCGAATACTTTTATACAACCATCTAATTTTTTTCCTTGACTTTGTGATATATGCGTACGTAAAATAGATATCATTGAAGTAATTTTGAATTATTTTATTTTAAGTACTCAATAAGGATATAAGACACATGAATGCTGTGTGTATTATATAGACAAAAAAGAATATGAAAGTAGTTTTCTACCTTCACAACAAAGAAAACGTGGATATAGTGAAAAATAGATAAACCACTAAATTAATGAATAAGACAGATCGTTTCTTAGGCTATCGATTATTGTATAATACAACTATCGTTTGCGAGCAATTTTTTGCTGTATGTGTTTTTTTTTACCCGTATAGTGAAGATAAAGAATTTCATTTGTTAGCTCCGAAGTTGATGAGATGACAGGTTTTTTTCTGCCAGCCTTTATAAGCTTGTCAATCCAGTTGTGTGATAGTATTTCAAGCTATCTCGTAGTGAGATGTCTTAGCTTATCATGAATACTTTGAATACTAAGAAGTTTGAACTATTTAAGAAGGCCAAGTGTAATTTATTCAGTAGAGTCCTCTGAATAGTCACTGTATCCATCAGTCATTAAATGCTCTGAATTTCCTCGCACTCGCTAAAGTTTTCGAATCTGATTTCAGCAACTGCTGGATTTCCAATACCTAGATAATGGTTACTGTTGGTTTTCAGTTAAGTACATGACCTTCTTTAGTAAGAAAATTGTGTAATTTAGATATGTTTCTAATTGAGTGAGAAACAAGAACACTTCTTTATCACATATTACTCTTTTCCTCTCGATGGGTTATTATTGTACCATCACTAGCAACATCCAATTACGAAATAATCATCATAAGTTAGACACAGACTAAAACATTTCATTAAAATTAGAAGCAAAGATCGAATCCGAGTTCAATAATAATGAACCCAATGACTCTGATGATTTCTAAACTAATAGTAGTTCATATTATGATTCCATTTTCTTCTATATAACAATCATCAATCTAGATCATTATTAGAAATCGTAAGATACCTGTAGACAGAAATACTCAGTCTATTCATTTGCTAAAATTGAAAAAATTTTCAATTGAGATTTTTAGTTCAACAGCAATCGTTTATCTATTGAAACTGATAACATATAAAGCGCGACAAATTTACTGAATAACATCAAAAAAAAACCAACAGTAAGAATAGTCGCAAACAAAACAAAATTTATCGTGTAAATTTCTTTTTTGCTTTTTCATTGCTTAAATTTTTAAAGATCTTAATTTTTCGTTCTTGTTTTGGTCGTGTAAATCCATTTTTCGATTTCAATCCTTTTTTGCTTTGATAAACTCCTTTAAAAAAAAATAAAAATAAACAAAAGTTATTTAATAGAGAACCACAAATTAATTCAGATCATTTACCAATATCAACAACAGGTGGAACACGAAAACCAAAACTATAAGCAACTTTAACCAAATCCAATTGTTCAACATTGTAAACATTTTTCATACTATGACTTGCATAAGCTCTAACATATGCTTTATATGCTTCTTTTGCACTTAAATGAAGAAAATAATTTTTTTCAATTAATTTTTCTAACTAAACAAAAAACAAAATAATAGATTTCGTAATAATAATAAATAATAAATAATATACTTGAGGTTGAATATCAGCAATTTTATTCCATGAAAATTCAAATTCGCTTAATGTGACTCGTGCTTGTTTGAGATAAAGAAGAAAACCAAGTTCTTGTGGTGTTAAAATAAGTAATGCATGACCATGAGCACCAGCACGTGCTGTTCGACCAACACGATGAATATATTCCTAACAACAAAAACAAAGAGTTGTCATTAGAACATAAATTGTGGTAGATTTATTTTAGTTTCTTAGAAAAAGCTTAAAGAAACTTTCTTTCTATATGATCTAATAGGAAAAACAATGTTCTATATTTACTCTGATAGTTGATCATTCTTTTACTAATAAAGTTCTGATCAAAGTTGTTTATTATGCTATATAAAGATAATATTAGATGACAAATTTTTACGATTTGGTTCAAAACTAATATCAGATTCGGAATCAGCGTTAAAAACTGAGTCGATTTATATATGTTGTGAATAATTCTGAGAAAATTTTTTTTTTTTTGAAAAAATCCCTGTACCCTCCCTCAGGGATGGTCTGGTCAATAATGACAATTTTTTCAATAACTCAGCCATTTCTTGACGGATCCTTTTCATCTTCGAACTCGACCGAGACATTGATGAGACTTAACTGTGTAGAAAATTTCATCACGATCTGACTCTCCTTTCGAAAGTTATCGTGTAAACGGCCGGCCGGCCGGACACACTGACCGATTCTAGTGTACTCACTTTTTGAGTACACAAATATCTAGAAAATGATAGGACCTTGGTAGCAGAAATTCGGGAATCAGCTGCATTTGTTTTCAAGTTTTGATCATTGACTTGAGTTTTTCAATTGGAAATTTATAGATCCGAACCAAGAAAGTATTTAACTGCATAGTAGATGCACATGGCAGACAAAATGTGATCTAATATCATCATTAAATGACTCTTATAGAAATTTTATTAGTTAAAAAATAATCGAATATTTGAGGATGATTTTTACTATCAGAATATCCAGAGAAAGTTTCTTTAAGCTTTATTATTTTTTTTCTTTTGTTCTAAGAAAATCAAATAAAATTTATACTTTTGGATCATCTGGAGGATCAAATTGTATAATCCAATCAACAGCTGGAATATCCAAACCTCGTGCTGCTACATCCGTACATAATAAAATTCCAGTTTCAGCATTACAAAATTCAAAAAATGTATGTGTTCGTTTAGCTTGTTTTTGTTTTCCCTTTAAACAAAAAAATAAAATAAAATAAAATTTTCAAATAAATATTCGAAATAGAAAAACAAAAAAACTCTTTTACATGAATACTTAATACAGGTATATCAATATAATTAAGTAATTCATTATAATATTTAACGGCCATACATGATGAAAAAAAGACCATCATTTTTTTCTTTTGATTTTTTTTTAAAAATGTAAATAATAAAAGAAAACGTTTATCTTGTGGAACAACAACATAACCCTATACAAAAAAAAAGCATTATTCAATTTATTTATAAAAGAATAAAATACTTGTTCAAGTCCTTCAACAGTTGCTTGATCACTTGTATCATCAACTCCAACATATAATGGTTCTTTTTTAAGAGAAATTTTTGCTAAATCTTCAGTACGTCGTGTTTGAGTTGCAGAAAATAACATTGTTTGACGACGTTCTATAAAATATATTTATGAAATTCTATCTTGTTTTTTTTTCGTATACTTACTTGGTAATAATTGAATAATTTGTTTCATTTCTTCTTCAAAACCAATATCTAAAATTCTATCAGCTTCATCAATAATTAAACATTGTAAGTTTTTATACAAAAAATCTTTAGTATTCTATAAAAACAAGTATAAATAAATGAAATAATTGTTTTTTTTTTTTTTGTATGGAAACTTTTACTTGAAGATGATCCAGTAAACGACCTGGTGTTGCAACTAAAATATTTACGCCTTTAACAAGTTTTTTAACTTCATCTTGTCGTCCTGTTCCACCCATAATTAAACCATATGTATGATGATGATAAGCTAATAGTTCTTTTAATACAGAATAAGTTTGCATTGCTAATTCACGTGTTGGTGAAATTATTAATGCACCAGTACCATTACGAGGCATAAAACGTAATTTATACATCAATTCAACAACGGGAATAAGAAAAGCTAATGTTTTACCCGAACCCGTCTTAGCCGAAGCAAGTAAATCACTAAAATTATAAACAAAAAAAGAAATCAATCATATTATTGAATGTATGTCCCAGATACAGTAGAACATTCTGTAAAAGTTTCGTTGATACTGGATTTGTGGAAAAAAGTAGCGGCTAACTTCACTGAAAATATGTTTTTGAAAAACGTTTAGCATGAAGAGAATAATTATTTCATTAGAACAAGAACTTTTCTTATAGAGTAACAGAGAGAAAGTTCCAGTTTTAGACTATGTATGGTGTATTGTCAAACCTTTTGTTTTCTCAGTATAGATGCTGCAATTTGACTTTTTTCGAGACTAACGAGGGAACATTCCCAAGTGTCACATCGCTTTTCAGTTGAAAGTATGAGCATTATATAGCGCCTAAGGATCTATGAATACTCTGAAAAAAGTTCGTGCTGCTAGCTTATTGGTGCCGAGATATTGCATTTTTACTGTATTCTTGAAAAATGAATGCTGTAGTCCCCCTCAGGGACACCAGAAAAACTAATTTTCGAATTTCGATTTAAAACTTTGCATACAGACAGATCTTAGTGGAATAGTTTATTGTGAAAGTTTTGGATCTTTTGATTTGGTTTCATCCTGAAATATGAACACCGAATCTGCCTATGTGTGTGAGAGATTTTATCATAGCCGTATCTTAGGATAAGAAAAACCAAAAGATCTGAAACTTTCACAATAAACTATTCTCACTGAGACCTGTGTGTATGCAAAGTTTCAACTCAAAATTCAGTTTTTCTGGTGTCCCTGAGGGGGGCTACGGCTTTTCGCTTAAAAATACCGTAAAAATGTAATATCTCGGCACCAATAAGCTAGCTGCACGAACTTTTTTCAGAGTATTCATAGATCATTAGGACCTACATAATGCTCATACTCTCGACTGAAAAGCGATGTGACACTTGGGAATGTACCCTCGTAAGTCCTTCCAATGAATTTAGTAGCTGGAACAAATTATTTTCAAATAGAAGCTTAGTCATTCATCAAAATGCATAAGTTACTATTCAAATTTTTGAAAAACCTCATTTTCTTATTTTTAGTTAATGTCTACGTTGTTTCCTACTGTGTATTTTTACATTCTTTATAACAAATCAACAATCGTATGACATATTAAAAAAACAACTACATGTAATCTTTTATTAATTTACTGTGCTAAATTTTATCATAGGTTTTCATGAAAGTCATTCGATCAATAATTTAAATGTCTTTCAATAAATTGCTGAATACTAAATAAAAATTTGTCATACATAGATGATCGTTTTTCATTAATGATAAAGAGTGTAAGGATATAAAAAGTTTTATCATTTTTTTTAGAGTAAATATTTTGATCGGTTTATTATGTGTTAAAACTTATTTATTTACCGTCCTTCGAGTAATGGTCCAATAGATTTCGCTTGAATTTCAGTCATTGTTGTTAATTTCATTTCATTAATTGCTTTTAAAGTTAAATCCGAAACACCTCTTTCACTTAATGATTCAAAACTAACCGAAGTAAGATGACCACCTGATGGAGTTATAGAATCTACAATATTAAAATTAAAGATTTTTTTAAAAATATAATTATAAATTATGATATAAAATCAAATTTGTACGAAAAAAAAAAACAAATTAACGCAAAACAGAATAAATTGAATTTGAAGAAAATTTTCTAATTTCATATTTTAAAATCTATCAATAAAGTTGATTGTCTTATTGCCTGTAAGACTAATACTTTATCAGTAATTGATAAAACAATAATGCATTTTTCTATTTTTTCTCAGACTGTCATGTATTTTCAAATTTTCATATGTGATATTAGCTATTTTGTATTGATATGTATATTGATATTAGTAATGCGTAAATAAAAAAAAAAAATATAATTTACCAGTGATTTCGATTTTCGTTTCTTCTGTATTATTATCGTTATATTCATCAATTGCTGTTGATGGAAGATCTTCATCGTTAATTATTTCTTCTTCTTGTGTTTCTAATTTTCGTTTTTTAGCCTTCTTTTTATCGATTGTAGTTAATTCATGACCATTGTCAAGTTTTCGTTTTTTCTGTTTTAATTTATCTTCTAAATAAAAATAAAAAAATAATTTCTTGTAAACAATATTCAATTGAAAAAAACAAATTCATACTCTTTTTCTTATGATTGATTTCAACAGAATTGTTTAATTTAGTTTCGGTGTTAGTTGACATTTGTCAATGAACAAGAAGATCTAAAATATAAAACACTCAACAGACTTCTAGAAAAAAATTTTAGAAATAATAATATTGAAAAAAAAGAATTTCTTAATTTGTAATTCAATATAACCAATGAATAATATCAATCAAATTAGCGACATCTATTTCAATTAAAAGAATAAAAATTTATATTGACAAAATATTAAATAAATAATATTTTTCTAAGAAAAACTTGTCATAAAATTTTATTGAAATACATATAGTTCTTCTATTTGATATGTTGTCATGGTAAATAATCAATAAATGGTATTGATCACTCGGTAATATTTAACTAGTTGTTATTTTTGTATTTCATTGAAAGTCAAAATAATCAAAAATCATATTCTGATGGGTCCAAAACAGAAAAGCAAAAAGAAAGGTGAAAAAAAGAAAAAGACAGTAACTGATGAAAATGCTAATGCCGAACCTGAAATACAAATGGAAGAAGGTACTAAACAATTTTATTCAACACAAATTCAAAGTCTTCGAAAAAAAGTTACTGAGTAAGATATTCTTTTAGAAATAATTTTTTTTTTTGTTTTTGACTCTATCTTTATAAATATAGTTTACAAGAAGAATGTGATGGTTATTTAGTTTCTCAACAGAAAAATGCTGAACGTTTAGAAACATTAAAAGAAATACGTCTTGGTTCTCGTGCTTATCTTGGACGTCAAATGGATGAAATTAATTTAGAAATAAATCATTTAAATCGTCAATTACGTGAATTAGATGAATTAAAAGAATCTGAACGTGCTGAATTAACAAAACAAATAAATGATTTACGTACAAAAGATTTACAAGAAACAAAAGAAAAAAATGAAAATGAAAATCATATGTTAAGATCTAAATTAAATTCTTTAGATGAATTAAAAAGTAAAAAAGAAACATTATTAAGTGAAATTAATCAATTAGATGAACAATTAAAACAACAAGAACATGAATATCAAGAAGATATTTATCATAGAGAAAAAGCAGCTGTTTTAGAAAAAGACAAGTAAGTTGGTATTTATTTATTTTTTTAATTATTTTCAAAGTTAATAAAATATTTAATGAAATGAAGGAAAAAAGGCTTTATAGAACATTAAAGTTAAGTGAGAAGCAAATTGAAGCATAAGTTGAATCTTATCAATAGGTTTTGGTTAAGACACTTTCATCAGTTTTATTGAAAATATTGTCTTTTAAGTTCTCTGACTGTTGCGGTTAGTGGCGTAACCAAGGTAGGGCCAGGGGGGGCTCAGCCCTACCATCGGTGTTAGCATCGTCAGCTGAATCCTTTCACAAGCCCTATCACCCCACAGACCTCAGTAACCTGAGCCCTACCACCGGATATTTAAGCGTTCCTGAGCCCTACCATTGCCAAAACTCTGGTTACGCCGCTAGTTGTGGTCTTTAAGAAAAACAGAAGATAGAGTATTCAAAGAAATCAAACAAAGAGTTAGAACAAGAAATTACATTATCATTAAGCGCAAAAGTCTCTAGGAACAATATGAAGTTTTCGAGATCTTTCTATTCAGCTCCTCTATATAGTTTTTCATACAAAGTAGAAACAGCACTTATTTTACAAGAAATAAGAACTTCTTTTTATATTGTCAATATCTCGATAAAAGACACACACACACACTAAGACAAATAGCCATTAGTGATTGATTCAAGGTCATTTCATGACTGCTACTATCGACTTTTGAGCACTGTATCTATTGGATACATGCTGAACAAGGTAGACACTTAGCCATGATCATGCTCCTAGCGAAAATATCAATAGACGCATTCAATGACATCTTATAGAAATGATTAAGATTCGAGCGTTGTAAATCCATCAAGAGAGAGAGAGTAAAGTGTAGCAATTCACATAAAGACAAAAGGTAAATAAAACGATTTGATATAACAAAAGAATTGAATCTTATAAAATATGATGTGATTTAAATTGATGGATTTCTAAGTGTTGACTTAAACAAAAAATTTCTCTAGATTACGTAAAGAAATGGGAACACGTGTAAATGATTTATCATCGGAATTTCGTCGTGTATCAAAAATGCAAGTTGTACAAACAACAAGACAAATTATTCTTGAAAATGTTCGTCTTAATAATCAAATGGCACTTATTGAAAATGATTATAATGAATTTGAAGCCAAAAATGGAAATATTCGTGAAGAAGTAATATTATTTAAATTATTCTTTTTTTTTTGTTTTTAATGATATAAATAATCTTTATTATTATAGAAAAAAAGTAAATCACTTGAATATAGTTTACTTGATGAACGTGAACGAATGATGGCAAAAAAAAATCGTAAAACATATCAATTAATTGAAAAATTAACTGATGAATGTACAGCTAATGAACAATTTATTGCAAGTCTTGATGAAAAATTATCTTCATTTGATTATACTCAACAATTAATTGATGAATTAGAACAATTAAATGAAAAAACCGAGTAAATTTATATTTAAAATATTCCCATCTTGTGTTTTCTTCTTTGTAATAAATTCTTTTTTTTTTTAATATATAGAATACGTCTTAGTCAAGCCTTAGAAGAAAATGAATCATTACGAAGTAGTATTACTCAAGGAGAACAAACTCTTTCACAATATGGACATGATATGAATAAAGCTAAACGTGTTATTGGAAATACTGTTCAAGCATTAAAACATGTTATACAAGTTTGTTTTATATTTAATTTATTTTACTAGATTTTAATTAGATATTTATTATGCTCAGTTATTAGTAAAGGATTAATTAAAATTATACATCATATCTGATAAGAATTGAGACCTGTAATCGAGTAGTTGAGGTCCTGAAGGAGGGTGTGGGTATTCATTTTTCACCTACTGTTCAAAGATAATTGATAGTAGACGAGTTATAGATGAAATGAAGAATAATTAGTGTTCAACTGAACTGCTTTAAAGATGTTTAAATAAAAAAAGTTCGTATAAAACTATTGTCGATTTAGAGTGTTATAAAGGCAATTTCGATAAGCTAGAAAATTTTCCTACGATTGACAAACTTCGAAAATGATCAGCAATCTTCTTAGTAGCCATCAAACCTAAACTATAGAGAAAAAACAATCTTGCACAAGGTTCTTCTTACTCATTAAGCTATCTATACACACTTATTATCAACATATCAGTCATCTCACAAAAATATATTACAGGATAAATTAGAGCACCAAATATATGGCGCAGTATAGGAAGTATGTTAACCTATAGGTAATCCGAAGCACCTTTCAACTACCTTGCGGCATGAGATGCTGCCTAACAGCAGATTCGATTGTCCGATGTTTTTCCTATAGCTAATACCAGCTGTAACTCTGCGCAGAAGGTAATGCGAATACAGAGGTCTAGTGGTCACTTATTTGAGCTCCCTATGAACATTAACTAACCACATTCTAGTCATAACAATGTAAACGTGTTGTTGGACGTGTGGTTCCAGACAAATGGCAGTTCGGAACTTTTCTAGGGTCATTTCCTGACTGCTGATACCGAGATTCGAACATAGTATATTGTAGATAAATGTCAAACAATGTTGTCACTCAGTCTTGACGACAGCGAACACAGTGACTTAGATGCTGATAACGAAAATCATAACTACTCAGGTATGGTAGGATCGAAGAGATCTTGAACAAGTTAGTTCCCTATGAAAAACATCAGTTTATAAAAGCTGAAAATTTTCAAAAGTATATAAACTTAGAACTAATATGAATTAGTAGTGTCTGCATTAATTGTTTTCTTTTTCAAGTTTTATTATCTAATATCTGTCATGTTAGTTGAGCATCGAATAAACATGATCATTTATTCATTTTGACTGATATTTCTGAGAATGTCTACAATCGATATTTCTATGTAGCTATTAATCTTTTTATTTAATGGTCAGCACCTAAAATTAAATAATAGTGCGAGTTTTAATCTTCAGAAAAAGAGCAAGATTCATCGTCACAGCCAATACAAGTTTATATATATATCTAGCAATCACAAAGTCTACTAATCTATATGATTCAAATAGAAATGACATTTGTTATCTAGAAAAATCAACTAAACAAACTTCATTTCGACAGAAAAAAAAGAAACTTGTGAAATATTCCTTATAATATTTTCAAAGGGTTCTTCGGAAACATTGGATGCTAGTCGAAAAATTGATATTCGTTTAAATGCTTTTCAAAATATTCTTCAACTTCTTAATGTTGCTACACAACTTGGTATTGGACCTAAATTAAATGATTTAGCTGCTAAAAATGAAAGTGATCCATTATTAACTACGATTGAAGTTGATACTTTACCTTCACCAATTCAACCATTAGGTGCTCTCAAAAAAGTAAAAACAAAATCAGTTGGTGTTCAAACAAGTATTTCTAATCGAGTATATATTTTAATTTTATTCTCTTAAATATATAAATTACCTATTTCTTGTATATTTATCTTTCAAGAATCCTACTCCATATCATTTACAAACTGATTCTTCAACATTACCACGACAATCATCAACAGTTGAAAAACATTATTCATCATTACTTTCTGCTTGAGTATATCCTTATAATTCTTGTGCAATATCATTATTATTCATATTTTTAATTAATAAATACTTATTCATTCTTATATCCTCTTATTTATCCAAAAATTTTTTTGTAGATTTTTGTTTCTTTTTTTAGAATATCAAAAAAAAAAATGCCTCCAAAAAAAGGAGAAAAGAAAGGAAAAAAAGAAAAAAAAACAGTTACTGCTCCAGAATATGTTCCAGAAAAAAAATTAAATGAAAATGATAAAAAATTTTATACAATGCAAATTCAATTACTTGAAAAACAATACGAAAAGTAAATGAATATATTTTGCAAAATATATATATATTTTTTTTCTTCTAAATACAGATATCAACAACGATGTACTGAATTAAAAGGTCGACAACAAGTAGAATTAGATCAAGTTAAAACATTAGAACAAGATTTTGAAATGCTTAAATATGCAAAAAAACAAGTTGAACTTAAAGAAGAAGAAATAGCTGATTTAAAAGATCGTCTTGTTGGTTTAGGACAAGCAAAAGAACTTGAAAAAGATATATTACAAAAACAATTAAATGATTTAAAAAATGAAATTCATGATTTACGTGAACGTTATGAAGCTGAAAATAGTGAATTACGTATGTAATTCTTTCGAAAAAAGAAATTCAAATGTTAATTTTATCATTTATTTTTATTTTTTATTTTCAGGAAATCAAGTTGCTGATTTGGAAATTTTTCGTGCTAAACAAGATAGTTATTTAGCTCGACGACAACAACAACAAGATACACTTAAATTTCGACAAGAAGATCATGTTAGAAAATTAGAAAGTATTAAAAATAAGGATCAAACTGATCGTGATCGGTACGTATTAAACATTGTCCTCTTCTTCTCTCAAAAAATTCAATTTTTTGAGAAAAACTCGATTTCGAGATTTTAGGCGTTTTTTTTTAAAGAGATCTCATAGCTGAAAAATATGAACTTGGATTGCATGAACAATTAGAATTAGGTTGTATAGAGCCTGATTTTTAAATTTCTCTTTAGTTGAAATAGACACTTAACTCTGTGATTTTAATTAGCAAATTTTCGATCATGAGTTTGAGAATTTTTTTTTTTGAAAAGTGTATTTTTTTTAATATCTAAGAACTTCGTCATAAATGTACTCTACAATTTAATTATAACTCGTGAGTATCTTGAAGAAGATATTTTATCTATAATGTATTCTAATCAAGATTAATATTCTCTAGAATGTTAATAGAAATCGGAAACAAAAATAAAAAAAAGTTTATTTCTGAGGAGAGAAAATGCTCTTTGATTTTATTTGAAAACATAAAAAATCTTTTTTTTTAAATAGATTAATTAAAGATATGATACAAAAAATGAATCATGTTGCAGCTGATTTTCGTCGAGCATCAAATAAACAAATGGCTGAAACAACAAAACGAACAATTAATGAAAATGCACGTATTGAACAAACTGTTAATGATATGGAAGATGTTGCAACACGTGTTCATCATGAAAATGAACAAATTCATGATGGAGTATGGATTAAGACTAAAATATATTTTCTTATTTAATTTTTTTTGTTTTTAAAGAATAATCATTTACATATGGGAATTCAAACATTAAAAAAAAAAGAACAACAACATGCTTTTCAACATGCTACTTCAGCTGAGGTATATTTATAATTAATTATTAAAAATGAAAAAAAAACAAAATTTTTTTTTCTTTTGAAGATTATTCAATTACTTGCAAATATGTTACAAAATCAAGAAGAAATTATTGTAAAAAAACAAGAACAAATTGCACAAGTAGATATTGCTGAAAGACGTATAAAAGAATTACGTTCATTAATTTTTAATAATGAGTAAATATTGTTTGTTTGTTTTTTTTTTCTTCTTACTATTCATTGTTTTAGATTATTCTATAAGAAAATTTATTTTATATTATAGAAAAAATTATCCAGATATTCGTCAACAAAATAAATCATTTAATGAAAAATTAGATGAACTTAATAAATTAATAACTACAGCAGCACAAGAGAAAGCTATTATACTTTCCAATTTACGACGAGCTGTTCTACTAGTTACAGAAACACTTAAGGTTAGTTACTGGAATATGTTTATATCAAAGTTAATGACTCCAATAGTGAACTCAGATCATTGGCAGAGATTTATAAAGCGCTAAGCCTTGAAATGTTTACATATCGATTTTTTCTTTTCGAATTATTCGTTCTCCTTAAATTATTAGAGGATAATACTATTTAGCAAAATTTTAAATAAAATATTTCTTTTTTATGTGAGTTGAAATATTTTTTTTTTTGAATATACATTTTCATAGATTAAAGATGAAGACAAAAGTGCACTTGTTCCTGTAGAACAAACCGGACAAATTATAACTCAAGAGACGACTGGCAATCTTTTTAACGAACTTCATGAAATTTTAATAAATACTGAAGAAATAGATGTTAATGAACAACAACAACAATCATCTACTATTGATATCAATCGTTCAACATTAAATATTAGGTAATTCAAAAGAAGTTCTAAAGATAATTGAATAATATTTAATTTAATAGAGATCCAGGCAAACGTCGTGATAATCTTTCCTATGCAGTTGGTGATATTGGTTTTGTTCCACGTCGTGATGCTGTTCTATTAACAAATTTTGATAAAATGCAACAACAAGTTTATCCAGCACGTGAACGTGATACAATTAGACGTGCAGCAAAAATATCAGTTGCTGTACAAACACCTGGTCTTGGTCGAGTATGATTTTTTTTTTTCGAATCATTTTTTTATAATTTAATATTTATTTTTCTTTTCTATATTTTGAAAAATTTAGGGTTCATTTGGTTCAGATGTATCACTTGATCGTCTTGGTCCATTTGATAATGGTATTAATAAATCAACCCGTGAACAATTTAATCGACCTACATTTGGACCAAGACCTCGTCAACCTAATGCTGTATCAGCAACAAATCGTATTGTGCAATATCTTTTTTGATATGAGAACAAAATAAATAACATAAAGACTTATAGAAATCAAATGACAAACAAGAAAAAAAAGAGAGCATAGGACAAGGTTTCTATATATATATATATATATAAGAAGTGTCAATGTTAAGAACTGAAATTCAAGGTTATTGTCTGACAGTTACATTTAAAAAGGAAGACATTTACAATAACCATGAAATGATATTTCTATTTTTGTCAAAAGAAAAAACATTTAAATATCAGCATTTCCAGTAAAGCGTCTTTGTTGTTGATATTGATATCGATTAAAATGTTGTTGTTGTTGTTGTTGTTGTTGTTGTTGTTCACTCATTCTCATTGACATTTCTTGAACTTCTCGTGCTTCATGTAAACAACGATCAAGTTGATTTTCAGCAGCATCATCATCATCATCACGTTCATAAAATTTAACAGTAAAATTAGTTGTACCATTTTCATCATTTATTGAATGTTGTTGATTACTTCCAACAGCAACACGTTCTTGACTTGAATTACGTTTATATTCAACTGTACGAATATTTTTAGAATTTTCATTAGGAATATATTGAAATGGTAAATGATGAACTTGTCCATTGGTACGATTTGATTGACTTCCTATTCGTTGATGACGTGGTAAAATAGTTGAATATTCAACAGTTGTTATTGGAGGTGGTAAAATATCACTATCAGGAATTTTACGTACTGTTAAACGTTCACGAAAACGTTCTTTAATTTTTTCTCGATAATTTCTTGGTTCTATTTGTTGTTCTTTACTATTTTCCATATGCCAATTATCACCTTCTTCATCATAATAATGTTGATATTCTTCAGAATAGACTTGTTGTTTACATAAATTACAATCAGAAAATGATTTTGGTAATGAACGACGACGATGAACATTATTATTTATTGAAGAATAATCTATAGTACCATATGGACGATGAATACCATTTGTCATTGTAACACGATTACGAGAAGGTATAGATGCATGACAACCATAGTCAACACCATTCATTGAACTTTGATGAAGATCAAAATCACTACGACTTTCACGATGATATCTTTCCATATTTTTTGCAAATGAAGAAGTTGATAAAGGATAATGAATAGTTTGTGTTGTACTTGCACAACAACGAGTATCAATTCCAGGATCATTAATAATTGGAGGTGGTAATGGTGTAACAAGTTGAGCACGACTAGACGTACCACTTGTTTCTAAATAACGAGATGATAAATTTTTACTTGTAATATTATGTAATGTTTTTTGTTGTTTACGTCGTCGACTGAAAAATATAATTAAAAATTGTTCTTACTTTCAAAATAAAATGTTTCTTTTTTAATAAGTTTTACTTACTGAAACAAAAGACCTAAAACGATGATAATGAATAGAAGAAAGATGTAAGCTAAGATAATTGGTATAACAATCCAAATATCTAGAAAATAAAGAAAATTGATTTTAACTTAAAAATCAATATTATCACTAACTCGACACTTTTGTCCATCCAACTGATTGAAATCGCATTCGACTTGTTGTTTCTGGTATAACAATAGCTGTGGTTGATAATGGTAAACCAGTTGGACATGGATCAATATATGAACAAACAGGAATAGTATAAAAATAAAGTAAATAATTAGTTGAATGATATGAATAAATAATTCCTGGTATAAATGTTATTTTCATTTCATATGTTGATGCTGCTAATCTTTGTGTTGTTTGATTTCCATTTAAAGTTATATTTAAAAGTGTAATACCTTCAGATGAAACACTTTCAATTCTTAATTGATCATGATTTAATTGTCCATTAACAAAATAAAGTACTGTTTTATGATATGGTCGTGCATAAATTGTTGTAAAACATGATACACGTATTGTATCTAATGGATAATTTCTTGAATAAATAAAACCATAATCATTTGTTAATGAACCATTTTTACATATGTCACATTTTGTTTGTATTTCACGTAAATTCCATGTTGGTACACAATGAAAACCAATATTTGTAACTGCTTTAAATGCGCATAAACTTCGATCACGTATTTGATAAGCAGGAATATCAGAACATTGAGATTTTCCATTACATAATGTATTTATATAACGTAAATCATAATTATTACAAGCATGAGATAAATCAGGTTGACAAGAAGTTGGATCATGACCAAGACGTGATGGAAATGAACGAATATAATCAATAGATATAAGATATTGTGGAACATTTGATTGCCATCCTTGATTATCTAATGATGAACCGTATGGACATTCAATTGAAATTAATGAATGAGTTGGACATATTGTTACTGTTCTATTAGGTAATTCATATTCAAAAACTAAAAAGAAATGTATGATAAAAATATCATACAAAAAACTTTCTTATCTTACACTTAGCATTGACTACTATGGATGTTTTCTTGGTTATATTGCATAAGGCAATAATAAATATTAATAATAAATATTGAGCCATATATTTTTTTTCATCTCATTCAATTTTGTTTTTGTTCTCTTGACTAACTGACCATCACTTGTATCACTATCTCAATTGGTATGTGTCAATGTCTGTATCTATATATATACATACGTGTTCAATACAAAATTATGTCAAATGAATGATCCTTTCTATGAAAGAAAGAAAGAAAGAAAAAAGATAAAGATAAAGAAAGAAAAAAGGGCGCAGAGATGATGCTACTCATCTTCGCCCACATCATATGCATGTACTCACACCTCCTCATACATCTGTGCACACGTTTTTGTCTTCTTCTTATTACGTCGACATTTTGAAGTAAACGATATACATTGAAATAGACAAGTGAAAGAGAGAAAGAGAGAAATACTAATCCTTTTCGACGAGATCAACTATACCGATGACAAAATAACGATGATGAACCACTGATGGTGATACTACTATTAGTAACTAACACAATAGAGATATAAAAAAAAAGGACATGTACAAGTTAATTGGACTAGTTATGGATGTGATATAAAAAGATATGTCAATTATCATCGTCAAGAACATATGGTTTAAAAATTTTATATAATCACGAAACATAATGAGAATGTATTCATAGCGAATAATAGGTCGTTTTTCTTTTTCTTGTATGAACTCATTGTTTTACAATAAGTTTGTATGGATTATAAATTGACATGAAATTCTACATGTATAAAAGCGTTCGTACGATTGATTATAAAAATTTCAGATGAATTTCTAATTGAAAACTCATTTATATGAACGATAAGTGTATGTTGTTAATATAATTTTATTTAATATCGTATGATCAATTCGATAAATAAAAATGTTATTGTGTAATTGATAACGAGTTGGTTCAAGAAAAAAAAAACGAACATTTCTCATTAGTCATTGTATAATTACAATTATATTCATACGTATTTCGATTTATTTCTTTATACTTGTTGGAAATTTTTTTTGATTTAAATTTTGTTAATCCATTCTTTCTTGTCTTTGCATATTTATTATTGCATGTTAAATTCATACAATTTCTTGTTCTTCTGACCTTGATGGATTAGTCATATCAATGACAAAATTTTTCTTTTTTTTTCTTCTTTTTATTGAAGAACAATTAAAATAGTGTGGCTCATTGTACTGTTTTTGGAAACTATTTAATAATATTTTTCTTATTAGTTTCTATTCTCGTAACAGTAACAACACCCAGTTGCTTCTATTGATATACTTAATAATTTTGACACTCGTTTGAATATTGACTTTTTTAACAAGTGAAACCTATTGGAATTCTTCTATTACTACTTTGGTTTTCTTTTACATAGTAATTGATTAATCAGAGGAAATAGACGACGGTTTATTTTAATGAAGAAAAGTATTAGCAAGTTCTTCGAATAAAATTCTTTTTCACTTCCAAAAAATAATTAAAATAGTGAAATTTCGTTTGGAAGAACGATACATTAGACGTTATAGAAGACTACTGTGAATTATTAATGAATTTCTCTCAACATTGGAATTTTAATAATTATATAGACATCAAAAGATAGGATGTGAATGTATCTTTTGATTTTTTAGACATCCATACCTCATTTTCACATCCCTGTGCACACCCACACCCGTTTTATGAAATAATATTCAACATTTTATAAATCGATAGTGGTGTCAAAGCGTGAAAACAGTGTGAGAGAACTACGATAGTATAAATGATAACATAAAGTGAACTATTTCTTAGATCAAAATAAACATTTTCATTCGATTCAGAATGGTCGGAAATCAATACGTCAAAATATTTTAAAAATTTCTACCTATAGAGAAATTATCTGAAAACGAATCGAAACTCCTCATTAAAATGATTATTCAGCCTTGTGTTAATTTGTAGATCTCCAATCGGTAGTCCTTGTCCATCTTTCCGTATCAAAGTTTCATTCCACTTCCACAGACGCAATAGTGTATTTTGAAAAATGATCGCTCTTTTTCTAAAGAAAAAAAATCCGAACTTGCTAGCTAGTAGTATGTAGAAGTTATTCAAAAAACAACCACAGATCGTCTTTTTTGAAATGAATAATAGGTACTTGTGAGAAGTAATTATCCTAGTTATGTAGTTACTTGTAAAGTCAAGGTAAAGTGCCATCTCACATCTTGGAACAGAAGCACAACACTTTTAGTTGAATTCACAGCTAAGTTTAGAACGTAAAAATCGCAGCTGAGGAAATATCGGTAATTCTTCATTGCTTTTTTTTGCAAAACACGTTTGAAAAGAAGTTGAAAGAAATGTAAAGAATGGAGGAAACTTGAGGGTATCGAGAATAAGAATCGACCCATTGTCGAATTCATTCGCAAGAAATGTGAATTCTGACCTTAAGATATATTAAACCAAAAGTCTAGAAACCTGTTATTCTCCTATTCCATCGATAAGGTAATTTTTCATCCAATGTCTTTTTTACTATCAATTTCAAACAGAATCATTCAAGATGATTCACATGTAAAGTGATTTCTAATTATATTTAGTCATTCAAAGTCCTCATTTGGATTAGGTCCCGTTTCGTCGAAAGCTTAATTGATTTTTCTGTTTCGTCGAAAATGTATTTTTCTTCTATTCCCGTTTTGTCGAAAAAAGAAATTCTAATTAATCAATGAAGAATAGATTATATCATTTGATGAGATTTTTTCGTCATACTAATTACGAATAGTGCCTAATTACTCGTAGATAAGTTTGTCAAAAAAATAAAAATAAAAACAGTTGTGTTTAAAATTTTATCTTGTGTGTAGCGAAAAGTATCAAGTAATAAAGTTGGTTTATTACGTTTACTTTCAACAATATATAGCATCGTTTTATGTAATAATGAATGAATATAACAAAAAAAAATGAATTTTCCCTTTTTACTCTACATATATATACTTTTGCAAAATTACTTATTACTAACATAGCGATATCAATTAGTTTCTTTTTAAGAAAATAGTTTCAGTCAATCAAAGAAATTGAGCTTATCACTTTGATTATAATTTTTTTTCATTACAATTTAATTTTTCGACGAAACGGGAACGGTTTTTTTTTCATTTTCGACGAAACGGGAATCTAGCCTCATTTGGTAGCCTAAATCGGACAGAATGGCGTCATGATGATGGAAAGATAAATAGAAAGAATGACAAAAAATGTCTTGTTTGACGCAATATTGTCTGAGAAAATGATGCAAATGTAAATACTAGAGCGTGTACTGTCATTTCATTTCTGAGGATTCATATTGCATCAGATAGAACGAATACGTTGAAAGATTGCATAAGATGTTTAGATATTTAAAAAGAAAGGAAGATAGTTGAAAAAATACGTAAAATCATATGAATCAAGAATCTACCATGACAGAACGATGCTCAATAATTCTCAATGAAATCAAACAATTAGCTGATGGAGAAGATCTATCAAAATCGATCTCTCTTGAAGATTTGGACAGCAAAGAACGCAATCAAATCTACAATTTCATCGAAACTGAATATTGTAATCAAATTGAGTTCGAAAAAAAATCTTCCAATTATGGTAACAATAAACAAGTCGTGCTAATACTCACAAAGATTACTGGCAAGAAAGAAGTGAAGAAGATGCCTGTCCAAATCGATGATACGATGGTGGATCTTTTCTGCACATATAACAAACTGCCTATAGCAATAGTCAATCACAAATACATCGATTATTATCTCGACTGTTTAGATCCTTATTTCGATTGCCGAGCCACATTTGCTCAGTTCTTGGAAGATATTGAAACACATGAAACAGTAGGAAAATTGACAAGTCGTATCAATCAAATACAAGAAAGTATTTTGAATTACATTACCACGCATCCATCTTTGCAAAAGTTTCACAATACACGATTTCAACAAGAGATAGACTTTATTAAATCGAGTATTTACAAGACCCATTGTACACTCTATACAAAGGAGAATCATAATAAGTTATTTATTTCCGTTGATATTATCAAAGCAAACTATACTGTTTTGTATCATTATCATCCAGAAATTTTCCAAAATTCAACCAGTTGGTTAGATTTTGTCAATTTGTTTTGTGGTGAAAAACCAATTCATACATTACTGAATTCTAAACTTTGGCGACAACGTACTCTAGGACAAGCACGTACTACACCCAAAACCAATCAATTAGCAGAATATTTTGTTCGAAAAATATTACATGAAATGCAAACACCTACTACCGATGTAGTTCTTCTACACAATGACGAAGCTGTTTTGCAATATGATCCATTGGTCTTTCGTCGTCTAATGGATAATTATCATGGTACTTTTTTCAAAGTGATACCTTTTCGATTAGTAAAATTACCCCAATACAATTATTTCGTTAAAGAATATTTCGATCCATCACAATCAGTAGACAATGATCAAATTGCTATTACACGTTGTGAATTCAAATGCATTCCACTTCCATTTCTTATGCAATGCATTAAAAAATACGAAGATAAGCCTATTACTGAAATCGATCGCAAGGTTACGATTGAATCTGGTCACGTGGCCACATTGGACGAGTCTATCTTCTAAAGTTCTTTTTATTTTTATATTTTTAATTTATATGTGTAATAATGTCAAACAAAGAATGACTTCTGGACATAAGATACATCGAATCGAATATTTTTTCAACAGTTATAGTCTTTTCATTTTTTGAAGATCAGTTGAGATATTTCTTTGTCAAAATCTCTTCAAGATATGGACTATCATAAAAAAAAAAGAAAATCAACAATTAAAAAAGGCATCTATGTTTTCGTTTTGAAGTAATGCTGAATTCAATTTTAACTACTAGTGTACTTGTTGAAATCGATATAGGACGTCCATGAAGAGAACAAATTGATCATAATATAATGCTTGATTATATTCCCGTGTCTCTCGTTTTTGCATATCGATATATTTTTGTTGCCGATCAGATCGTAAACATTGACCATAAAGGAAAAGATCAGTTGAATATTGAAATCGATAGACATTTGTCAATTTTGATTCAATATTATTCTGATTGAACCATCGATCAATATCTTTGAATGTTCACTGTTCGATTTTCTTTGTTGAATTTGTCAAACTGAGCGATGTGTTCGGTTGATCTGAATTCTTGTCTAGTTTCATGCCAAGAAGATTGTCTGGAAATCCGATCATGGAGTTACTGATGTTCTTATTCGTTTTGGTTCATCTTGTTTTCGTTGTTGTGAATCATCATCAACGATCAAATTGAGAATTATCGTTATCGTATTGCCGAATGATCGTTTTCCAAAACGATCATATTGTGGATCAACAATACGTATGCCAAGCCAATTCCTGACAACTTAATCTTTCTTCAGATAAACAGAAATAAATCGTTTTTTGAGTGTATTTCTGGCATACATTACTTCTTGACGACATGATTTACTATTTTGATATTCTTTTGTAATTAGAAACATAACAACATGAACATTTTCAATTGCTTCATTAATTTTTTCCTATAAATCACCACTCCGACAATAGATCAAATCGGTCTGAATATCAAGACGTAGATCTTCAAAATGGTAATGTAAGTTTTATTTTCGATTCATGAAGAATAATCCATGACGATTTACATTGTTGAAGTGTATTGACAAGATCAAGACCATGCCCGAATATCAGGAACAAGGTCGAAAACTTAGTTGCTATTGTTAACGGAATCTATATAAGCACTTTCTGTTAGCACTGTACTTAAGGTGTGGGTTTAAGTGAAGATAAGGTAAACACCCACACCCTTCAATAAAATTGAAATTAAAAACTTTCTCACGAAAGAGAATGCTGTCAGTAGATGATGAAATCGAGATAAATTCCAAAATGAAATCGAAATTTGTTGCTTTTGCTTAGTCAAAGAAAAAATTTGTTTGTCTAGTAGTTAGTATTGATCAATTTTCATCATTTTTCTGATGCATTATCTCATTCATTATGTTTAGTCACTTCCAGTATCAGTTAGAAATGCTTTTTATTATTCTTTGACGCCATAAAATTGTTGAACAAAGAGAGTTTTTCGGCAGATAGACACATTAATTTGTTTTACTAATATTTTTGTTTCTTAAAGATCGCAACAAGAAAAAGGAAAGTAGTAAAAACTATGAAGCGTATGACCTGACATCTTGATTCATTGAATATTTTTATAAAATTTCCGAAAACTTCTTACAATCAACAAAAAAATGAAAACAGTTTTATACAAGGCTAAAATACAATTTTATATACTAAAAGATCTTGTGATTGGTAAATACAAACCCAATCCATGTACAAGCAAATTGTGTACTAGATTGCGATGTTACTTGGAATATTCCAACTTGAAAAGAATACATCGAATATTGAGTTACTTCAAAAGGTAAAAATTATTTTTTTGTTTTGTATCAAGTTCTAAATCGTCGGAAAAGTCATGACAATTTTTATTAGAAGATTATCAATATCTAAATAAAATTGATTTCTATCTCTTATTAGTTCTTGTTCAAGACATTAGTTTTTCAAATTTTATGTAGAAATAGCTTTCTTCTTGACGTAAGTTTGAAATAACTGAAATGAAATGAGTTCGAAGGTCGATAACAGCTAAATTAGTCTATAATAAATTATAATAAATCTAATTGCGAACAATTTCTTGATATTAACAATGCATATAGTTTTGCCTTTTCTTTGTTAATTTTTGCACATGATGCAGTAATTTCTTTTTAATTGTGTTCTAGTTACAGACTTTGATAATATTTTGCAACTACATAAGTATGACATCATTGGATAATGATAATAAATCCAAAAATGGATTACTCGTGGATAAACATTCTAAGACAGAGTCGTACAAGTCTGATGATGAGAACACATCATTGTCTCAATCGTCTCCTAGCTGTCCACCTGAGCAAATATCTACAAATTTTGTTACTAATCTATGTATTGTCTGTTCAAAAAATCGTCGAGCACTTGCATTTGTACCATGTGGTCATTTCGCTGTTTGTGTACCATGTGGACATGGTTTAAAGTCGTGTCCAACATGTGGATCAAACATTAAAGGGTTGTTACGAATTTATGACTAAAAATATACATTACACACATTTATTACTTGGTATCTTTGAACACACACTTTTCATTTAAAATTTTGATGAGATTTGTAGTATTTATATAGTAGTTGATGGGCTTCATATTATTATAAAGTTGAGCACCGATGAATAAAAGCAATGTTCTGTTTACCTAATACGCGTTTTTGAACTTAGCTTCAATGAGCTTTTATACAAAAAATATTTTCATAATAAGTTCAAAAATTATTCTTTGAAGTCATTTTAATTGATATTAATAATTCAAATAATTTCATATTGACAAAAGTATTTAAATTGTGTGCAATATTTCACATAGAAAATTATTCTTTTGTCAAGTTTTTTAAAAAATTCTTGTCCATATAAAGTTGTATATATTATGAGTCATGTTGAACATTTGTTTATGTTGTACATAATTACTCAATATATTTGTATATTTTATATTCCATTAGCTCTCGAAATTTGATTGTGTATTGATGTTTTTTTTTGCCTCCCTCCCTGCCCTTTTCTTTATTGAATAAAAACTAAGAAAAATATCTCATAACGCTAAATGATACATAATATATAGTAATTATGTTCTTCAGGTATAACTAATATTATTATGTTTTGATTATATCCGGATTATATAGTGAAAATATTTATCAAGTGACTTATTGTTCTACATGTAACCAGCACAAGAGAACATCACTATATATTTTTCATCATTGATGAAAGTTTTTCACTTGATTAATTGAATTTCGAGCAATAAATTGTATTATATTGAATCCATTAGCTATAGTATTAAGCTGAATAGACAATAGCATATGCAGTTACATTTGTTTGGCAAACTGGACATAAGCGTTTAATTCGACCACATGACTCACATAAACAAAAATGGCGACATGGTAAAGCCATAAGTTTTTTTTCTTCAACCCTACACCATATACATTTATGAGACACTATATAAAAAATATTACATATAAACAATTATATTCTTTGTATGTAGATTTGATATTTTACCTTGTCTGATCGGTAATTGTGGGTCAATATCGTTCAATTGCCTAGCATAACGACATGGTAAAAGACAATGTAGATCTGTGAGATATGGATGAGATCGTTTACGGCGATGGACAGCAGGTATGCTATGTTTACAATAGAAACATTTGATAAATATACTATGATTTGGATAATACCAGCCAGATTTTGCTAGTTCATGAGCATTGACTGGACATCCGCCAGGAAAATTTTCAAATGAAAGTTGTCTTTGAGACACCATGAAAAAAGATTCATGTTTCGATTGAACAAGACCATCATATGGTTGTGATTCGGCATTTATAATATCTTCATCTGTGAAATTTTCTCTAATTGTTCTTATGGGTATTGAATTGGAATGAAATGGATTGAGTGCAAGAACAAATAAACACAATGGTGAAAGATATTTGTGAATAACTAAAGGATTATCATTTGGTTTCCAATCGTAATAACATATATGACAATGAGGACACATTGAATAATCTTCTTCTGCATATATTATCCAACCTCCTTTAGTCATATCATCTGGTGATGGTTTAATGCATGACCAATTTTTTAGTGATCGTTCTCGTTCAATAGTTACATTTAGTTGTTCAGTAAATTGATCACCTAAGTCTATGTTTTGAAAGAAAATATAAATAAAAATCTTCTATTTAATTTTAATTTAAAACATACTTTGTCGACTTATTTTGTAATTTTGAAGATCATCGTCAAATGATTTTAATATATCTATATTTCAATTAAAGTGTAAATTTTTTTCTTTTTTATTGAAAGAGAAAAATCATTCTTACCAGCATATGATTGGGATGTATTATTCAATAAGTAAGACAATGATGAATGTTTATCATTGAAAGATCGTTGTTTGTTCTCATAAATCTCTTTCAATACAATACTTGGAATAATAATATCTTTCTTCTCGATCTCGATATGCTCAATCTGTTTTTTGATAATTTCACATCCAATCAATAAATCACAGGCATCGATCAAATCATCGTCTAAATAATTGCATATACATTTATAAGAAAAGAAAAAAATTGTTCTATTATTTCTTTTTTACATCTATGTCGAAGTTGATTTCTCCAACAACGTTCAACGATTGATCGTTCGAATTTATTTACTTCTATTAATTGTTTCGAAATAGGTAAATCAAGACAATCAGCAGTGAGTCTTAAGAGTGTTGTATCATCCAGCATACTCAATCGATGATGATCATTTTTAAATTCACTAGTTTTAACATTTTCTAGATAAATCAAAATAATGACTCATTAATGAAAATATATTTCTTTTATTAATAACTGTTGGTTACAATAGACTTTACAAACCTGACATATGTTCTGTTGCACGTTGAATTTTATGATATAATTCTTCACCACATAATTGTCTAGCATAATTACAATGTGAAAACCATCGTACATGTTCAGCAATTGGATGATTATTTAATTCCCAATTATCGAATGAACCATTACAATAGAAACAAATTATTTTAGAACCATTGTAGAAGAAACCTGCATCAATAAGTTTGTCTATCGATGGAAATCCTTGTTTAGACCAAGTAGAAAATGATGCTAAACGTTTTTTAGGGTCAGCATAATCAATGTAACTCGGTATTGTAGATCCAATGTTGTTTTGTTGTAAAGAATTACAATGAGATAAAGATTTGACACATAAACAATTCGGTGAAAATATTTTGTGTACTTCATATGGATCATCTATTTCAATATTCCATTGATGACATATGAGACCACAATAAATACAAATAACTCGATCATCAATATTACAACCAAAAAATCCAGCATCAATCATTCGAGAACGAAATGATACTGGATGAGGCCAACAAGAAAATGTACGATGACGAATCGTTCTCAATCTATTTGGTTCACTCCAAGTATATGGTACTTGTCGCTTTTGCCATTTTAATGATTTTTCTATGAAGAAAAAAAAGAAATGAAGGAAATTTATAGATTAAGAATAGTATTTCGAAAAAAACTTATTATGCTTACGTATATCTACAGGTTTATTGTTTGAACAGGCCATTACAGGAATTATTTTACTCAGTTATTTTAAAATATAAAAATCTAAAACAATAAAATTTAAAAAAAAAAAACTTTCAGTTTTTATCTTGAAAATATTTTTATGAATATTCTACCATATAACCACAAATACTAATCGAATGTTTCGCTTACTTGCTTTAGTGATCAAAGTATTTGATCATAGACGTTTATATTAAGAAACTCGCTTGTAATTACATCACAGTCGGCTTTTTTCTAAGGTGACTCATCAATCATGTGGCAAGAAATAAAAAAAAAAACATTACTTTTCGGCGATTGAATACAAAAAACATAAAAACATTGATGAATTTACACTATTCTCAATTATGTACCACCTTCGAATGCATCCAATAGCAATTATTAGTTAGAAAAAGCAAGAGTAATTTTTTTTTTGTCCTCAAACAACGTGACCCACAGACATTAGCAAACATGTACCTAAGAAAAACAAAAATGCTTGATTGCTCACGTCATTTTGTTTTCCTTTCTATCCACATCAAAACCTTATCATCAGATAGTATTATTTTCATGTATAGACGTTTACTATCGTGGCGTCAAAACAACATATGTTTCTTTAGGTTTACTAGAAATAACATCAATAGATGGTGCTGAATTATTGAAATTTTACAAATAATTATGTGAAATAAATAATAATTTACAGTGAGATAACTTTGCTACAAAAAACTAACAAATTTCATGTGAGATTGTCATCCTCCTTAACTCTTTTCTTAAAATCTAAAAACTATAAGCAATCATTGGTTTTTATAGTATTGTCATATAATCTTATAGTTTCATAATCTGACGTCATTGGCAATGTGTCATAGAAATATTTAGGCAACAGTTTGAGCTTATGAAAAACTATACGTGTCAAAAGATCTTACTTAATCGATATTGCACATTTATTTGAAATCTTTTTTATGTAAATTTTCGAATTCGAAATTCACTTGTGTATGAATTCATCTTTTATTTACAATTATGTTTGCTAATTAGCAGTAGTGTCAAACTTGAAATTTGAATTCAAGTATTCAATTGTTCCACTGTTCAAGTATTCAAGTTTTCGAGTAGTCAACGACTGGAACACCATCAGAATTACCTACCCATGTAAAAAAAATGACCGGAAAAATCAGATTTTAATCGATTTTTTTCTGATTAATAATCGATTAAAATGGTACGATTTTAATCAGATTTTAATCCGATTTCTTGATTTTTAATAAATTTTAATCGATTATTCGATTTTTAATCGATTTTATTTGATTTTAGTCAAATGTTAATCGATTTTAATCGATTTTCATGAGATTTTAATCGATTGAAATCGATTATTTGATCTTTAATCGATTTTAATCTAAGATATCGGCATTATGGCTTACACGAGTGAGTGTGAATCGATGTCATATATAGGAATGTGTCAAGGATAGAGCTAGTACTATACTTACCATTTGTTGACGCAAGGAGTCAGAAAAAATAATAAAAAATTCAAGTTTCTAAGTGAAAAAACTGGAGAAAAACGCGTTTTTTAGTCACAGCAATTAAAATCGATTAAAATTTATTAAAAATCAAGAAATCGGGTTAAAATCTGATTAGAATCGTGCCATTTTAATCGATGATTGATCAGAAAAAAATCGATTACAATATGATTTTTCCGATCATTTTTTTACATGGGTAACATCGGCAGAAATTGTCTGGAATGCTACTAGCATCATTTGGCATGCTACAGGAGTTATCTACAATGCTGTAGGTATTACCTAGTGTGCCACAAACATCATCTAAGATGCTACAAGCATCACATAGGACACCATAAACATTACCTAGGATGCTGCAAGCATTACCCAAGATGATACAGGTTTTGGTTAAGATACTTCAGACATAATCGGGGACACTACAAGATATATTTGAAAAGCTTGAGTATCATACGGTGCCGAGTGGAAATAACGGTGTATACAGAAACGTGCATGGGTCGCGATTCTTGTGGGGGCACTTCCTGTCCTCATGCCGCGACGCTAAGCTAAAAGATGCGTTCGGCGAAAAATAGCGTTTCCCGAGTAAATATGCGTAGAACACTTGACAAGTGAAAGGTTAACTAGTTGGAAACTTGAATTGAAGTTTCAAGTATTACATATATGCTTTCAGATTGTTATTATTTCACCTATATTTTAATAGAACATATATTTTGTCGAGCTTGAGTAAGTGATAAACAATATCAAATGTTCCAAACAATTACATCAGTGTGTGGTAGGGAAGATTTACACTGGCACTCATTCAGAAACATCAGAGAGTTTGCATGGAGAATTGTAGAAACTAGGATGAAAGTGCAGCCGATTGTATTTTCTTTTGTGATATTTTTTATTAATTACAGTACTATATTTTGAAAATTTTGTCTTTTTAGTCTCGAAAACCACTTGTTAAAAAAGAAACATAACTGAACTTTATCTATCGTCTAAGACTAGTTCACAGCGCTTCTTTTCATAAAACCAAGAGCTATAGTGTTCAAAATATACCGAGTGGAGGCTTAAATTAAAAACTGCTCAATATACTTTTTGCCATTTGGTATCATCTGTACTTTGTTCGCATAGAAAAAAACGTTCTGTATCATCACATGGTTGTTCTTTTTCTCTTGCATTTCTTATCTAAGAAGGTATTACTATAGTAATTTCGCTCGATACAATATTCATTTTTCTTCACAAATTGAATGATCATTTATTTCATGATCTAACTATATTCAACTGTAGTCAACGAAAAAAGAAAACAGTATACGTCACAAGGACAAATCATCTGTCGATAAAAATAAAACACTTGTTTCGCATCAAAGATTCTTCTGTTAAAGCCTACTGGAATTTCTTTTTTTTTGAATTTACTAGATTTGTTAAAAACTCCAAACTTTTACCCATGTCATATGCTCTAAAAATATAATATTTTTCATTAGATGATTTGTTCTTGATTGTCCGTTGAAAAATGTCCTTAAGCAATGATTTCTCGTATGAAAATGTTCCTCATTCTCAGTTGTTATTCTTTAAATATATTAATATTGAAACATGGAATGAGAGTGTGCGTCATCTATTAATCCCCAAACCATTTCCATGCACTGGTATAATTGAGTTATTATATAATTCAAGAAATTCAGAAACTCTCATTGAGCTTGCAACATATATACTGGGGTGTACTGTATGATAAAACGAAATGTCAATGATTTTCTTTTTGTGTTTTACAGCCTAGATGTAATTTTTATGTTACTTAATGTTTCTGACTTGGAACTATTATCGACCAATATTGAGGTTAGCATTATTTTGTCATTTCAATAGTAACACCGAAAACTGATAGTGGCTATCACGAATAACTAAGAATCATTCGTGTTATGTGAATATTGTAAAGAAAAAAACAAAATCAGCTAGTGCATCCTGACGACACACAATAATTTAGAACTTATATTACTATTGTCTTATTTGAAGATTTATGAACATCTTTACAAACATTATCAAATTTTCAATTTTATAAAATCAAAGCCATCTTTATAAATTCTTCATTAAAATATAAATAAATAAATAATAATATAAATATTTTATATTTTTATTTTTATTTAATATTGCTCATGTAAGTTTTCATCTGAATACAATTCGTTAATCATGTTTATCTCAAATATTAATATGAATATATAATGCTTTACAAAAAAATTATGTAATTCTTGGTCTTTCAATCAGTTTTATTTTTTAATTATATTCTGAAAAAGTTTAAATTGAACTAATTCAGATTAAAATAACACATGAGAATAAAATAATCTTCATAACTTCATTTCTTAAATAAAGTAAATGAAAATTCATTATTTGATGAATCGTCATGAAATAATAAAAACAAATAAGGTTATATCTAAAAAAAAAAACACGTCCACATAACAAAGAAAATGTATTTTGTTTTTTGAATAACAAAAGAAAACAAAGAATCATTAGAAAAAAACAAATCAAACAATAATATATTAATTTATTGTTATCATGAAGATAATTTGGTAAGAACATCAAAAGCTCCTGTACCACATTGAACCATACGTCCAGTAACTAAACGAGAAGAAGGAGATTTCAAATCTTCATGTTCACCTAAACAAAACAAAAAAATAATAATAATTTGTTTTGTTTTTATATAAATAATCAAATGATATTATTTCATTACCATATAATAATGCTTCTCTTAAATAAGTTGTTGATGTTTCAAATGTAATTTTTTGTAATGGACTTGCATTAGTTCTTAAACCTAAACGATTACATGGTTTATAAACACCTTCATATGTCATATAATCAGCTAATAAAGATAAATGTCTATAATCAACTTCAATACCATAAGCACCAAATACTCGATTAATTTCACGTATTAATGTACGATTAGCTGCTTCAATACCAAATATTTGTGCCATACGATGAATATTATTTGTATATATTCGACGTAAATCAAATATTTGATAATATGTCATTAATGCATTTATATTTTCACCTTCAGTTGAAAGAATATATTCAATATCATTAGGATCAGTTTTTATTTTTGAACGATATTCTTTATTTTCTGTTATAAAACAATTTTGAATACCAACAATTGATGTTATCGATGTTCGTGATGCTTCACTATGAATTAATGTTTCAAGATCAATACGAGGTTGAGTAGCAGAAAATACCATTGTTAAACGACACCATAAATTATTCTCAAGATCAGCAGTATAATCATTTATATAATCAGCATTTTTACAAACATTCTAAAAAATAAAATCATTTTTAATAAATGAAATCAAAATTGACATTCTATTATTTTTCTTTTTGTAATATACATACACCAAATCGTTCGTTGTATGCCATATTATCTATAACAGTAGTTTTAGCATTCATTTTCTTTGCTTTTTTACTTGGCGGTTCATCATTATTATCATCATCATTGCCTGGTACTTCTTGTTCATCATCATTATTCATTTCTTCTTTAGCTATATCTATTGCTATTAACAAAAAAAAAAAAAAAAAG